GGAAGCACTGACTGGCTCATGCTGCATGCATTCCCGTACCCCTTCAGCACGGTGACAAATAATATTATATTATTATATTACTTTATATATATTTTATTTAATTTTAAATGTCTTCATACTTTTTAAAACTTTCTCTATATATATATATATAATACATTATACAGCACCCATATGGCCACAACTCTACCCCCACACGCAAGCAGGCACGCACGCACGCACGCACGCACGCAGGCACGCACGCAGGCACGCCCGCACGCACGCCCGCACGCGCGCACACACGTATATAATATATATATTATAAACAAAAGTAGTTGTGTGTGCTACATGTATATGCACGCGGCTAACGATCATATACAGCATGTTTGATTCATGTCTATTCGTTGATGTTTCAGGGTCTTAACAAGCAAGGATAACAATGTCAAGGTAAGCCCTGTAGTAATCTGACAACCCTGTATTGAGATTAATGTACACACTCCGTTCACTGCACTAGCTATCAGGTTCTGGACTGAATGTACTATTAGTGAGCGGGGTGACTTTAAAACTATATGCTATCGAATGGATAGATGTACCGTCGGCAAGGAGGCCAGCATGAGATCATGCGATATCTCGATCGGTCCGGTCTCCTCTTTCCCTCCGATTCTGATCTTTCTCTGTCTTTCTTCTCTGCCAATTAACTCTTTCTGCGCGCGCGAGCTCTCTCTCTCCTCTTCCTCTTTTTCTCTCTCTCTCTCTCTTCCTCTCTTCCTCTCTCTCTCTCAACACGACCACACACACACACACACACACACACTACACACACACACACACACACACACACACACACACACACACACACACACACACACACACACACACACACACACAACACACACACAGCATACAGATACCGCTAAACTGGTTGTGCCTCTGTCTCTCCTCTCTCTCCTCTTTCTTTCTTTTTTCTTCTCTCCTTCTCTCTCTTTCTCTCTCTTCATCTCGTCTCTCCTCTCTTCTCTCTCCGTCTCTCACACACACACGACCACACACACACACACACACACACACACACACACGCAACACACACAAGCATACACATACTCGTCTGTATACTGCTTGTATGTTCCGCTCTACTTCTTTTCTCTTCCCGTCTCTCTCTCTCTCTCTCTTCTCTCTTCTCTCTCTCTCTCTCTCTCTCTCTCTCCTCTTCTCTCCTCCTCTCTCTCTCTCTCTCCTCTCTCTCTCTCTCTCTCTTCTCTCCATCTCTTTCTCAGTGTATACATGTAGATATACAAGCGAGCGTGCGCGTGTACATGTAGATATACAAGCGGTAACATCCCAGTTGGCCTACACCCATTTCGCCTACGTCCCATTTAGCCTACTCCCATTTCGTCTACTCTCAGAATAAGTAATATAATAGTGTCAAGTTGTGTTCTTATTATTTGTACCTATGTTTTCTTCTGGTTCCTGTATCTGTATGCCAATTAAAACCATATTTTCTAATTTATAAATGATTATTTAGTAAACAAACCGATCGTAGACGAAGTGGGAATGGGGTAGATTTTGAGCGTAGACGAATTTGGAGTAGGCGAAATAGATGTAGGCCAACTGGGAATTTGGCTGTAGACGAAATGCGAATTTTGCCGTGTGAACGCTCTTCTCTGAAGGGTATGTGTATGTGTACCGTGTGAACGCTCTCTTCAACGACGCTCCGTGTCGTTTTTGATCCGGGTCAGTCTCGGATCGTTTTCGACCCGGGACGAACGCTCCGTGTGAACGCGGCTATTGTAAGGCGGGATAGGGTGCGGTGTTGTACTGTATGGTGGAATAGGGTACGGTACAATAGGGTAATGTCAGGC